GGTGAAGCGCTTGCTTGAGATGATCGACACTTTGGTATATTTTAGTGCCAACCTTGCTTTCCCAAGATACTTCAGACACAATAGTCCAACGAATAGGTATCCGGAGATTTTGGTGGCCATTGTGCCTGGAAATGAAGCGAGGAATCTCATTTTGTAACCATTCTTAGGTGGCGCGTGCTGAGTTTGATGGCGTGTGCTGAGTCCTGTTGGAATGTCCCAGATCTGCGGCCAAAATGTTTGTGTGCTCAAGACTTTAATACACCCTCCAGAATATTTTCGCGATAACATTCGGCAGTTATTCTGATGCCACGGTCGATTAATACAAGCGAAGATCGACCATCGGCTATTATAGCGGCCCACACAATTACCATGGCCGGCGCTTCAGTTCTGGTGGCCAACCGAAGATGTACATTTTCAGCTGACCTCTTTCGCAAGTAAACGCGATCATTTTGTTTGTTTACAAATTGCAGGACATCAAATGTTTTCTCATCGGAGACGAAGAAAACCAAATTCGGCAGTTCACCACTTTCGGCCAAGCGACTCTACTCTTTAGCTCTTTTGAGTCCATTTTCTTTCTGTTGCGGTGTAAGTTCTTGCAATTTCAAAATGCTAAATGTTGTAACTCTAATAATAAACACTGCACTTTCTAAACGACAAAAAATAAATAGCACTAGGACACTCAGGGGCAGCCAACCTGCCATCCAGCCGGCCATCCAATCAGCCTCAAACACCAAAAGGCAAGCATGAATGTCGAACCAGGCAATAGAACGCAAGTCGATTGGAAATGTTATTCCACAAAAGCCAATTTAAGCTATGCAAGAATGTATGCAAATTTTTACACACACACAGAGACACAGACATACATTCATGCAAATTGGAAGAGAGGGAAAAAATGAGAATTTTGCATATACTCTTGAGAGAGTTTGAAGAGAATGGGGATGGAGGAGAAAAAGTGTGTTCAGCACCCAGAGTTCAAAAACAACGAACATTAGCATTATTGTGGACATTGAAAATGGACGAAGATACTTTGTGAAATGAAAAGCTGATTTAAGGGCTATCAATGAATATACGAAACGATACTGATGAAAAAAAGCCAACCAATATGAGTTGAGTGAAAAATCAGTTCAGAAATACTATGATGAGAAAAGGTAACGTTATTGGGGCCTTGAAAAATATGTAAATAAATTATATATAACCAACATAGCAGATACACAATGACCAAATTATTTTTTATTTATTGACAATTGTACATTTATTTACAATTTCATGCAAATAATTGTTAATCCAAATTTGAACCTTTTGTGAGGAAGGTATCAAAAAGAGTGGACCGATAAATTTAATGTCGCATAATTCACATTAGATATCTTGGTTGAGGGAAATATTTAGATAAACCAAGTTTGAAAAGAATTTCAGACTTATTTTGCAAAGTTATGAGAGCTATAAATTTCGAAAATTTTGTCCCTATGTGAGGGAGTTACCAGAAGTGGTGGGCTGATATCTATCATCTTCGCAATTGAAGAGAATTGGATACTTATTTTGCATTTCATGAGCATTATTCAAAATTTTGACCCCTTTGTGGGGGAGGTACCAGAATTGATTAGGTATTCAAGGAATAAACCACCATCCACACTAAATCTTGTGTTGATGGAAATATTGGAATGTGTGGAATTTTTAAGATTATCGGACGGTTATTTCGCATTTTGAGAACAATTTGGTTATTCAAACATTTGAACCGTTTGTGGGGAGGTGCCAGAAGTAATAAGGTCGATATCTACCATCTTCACACCTGATCTTGTGTTGGTATAAATATTGAGATATGGCTAGATTGAAAAGAATCTGATGATTATTTCGCTTTTTATGAGCTTCATGGATATTCACAATTTTATGGGGGAGGTACCAGATGGAGTGGACCGATATATTCCATCTTCACACCAGACCTTGGTATAATAAAATATTGTAATGTGTGTAATTTGAAGATAATCGGGTTAGTTATAATTATTCCAAATTTCGACCTTTTGTGGGGGAGGTATTTTATGTAGTGAACCGATATTGTCCTGACCTAGCACTGATGCAAATATTAGAATATTCTTTCTCTTTCGGTACAGTAAATTATTTTCTTCGAAAATGTTGACATTTTATGGGGGACCAGAAGGAGTGGACCGATATTGCTCACTTCCGAACTCGACCGAAGTTTGACAATAATATTACGATCTAAGTTTGCCAATAATATTAAATGTTTTGGCTGTATCAAATGGTAAATACCCTCCCAAACCATATGGAAAAGGCGAAATAATTTATATTGCTCAGCTGAGGAATGTCTTTATTGGGCGCCATCTCTCTATTTGGAATTTTTCACAATTTTCCGTTTCAGGGACCGGTTAAGAAATAATTAAACAGAATAGCATCTGAAAAAGCCACGTGTGTTCTATAAGTAATTTTCCCTCCCATACTGAAGGCCTTCAATTGGGCGCCATTTTCACCAATGTAAATGCGAAACTTGAAAAGAAATCGAAGAATAATGTAGCTAAAATCATCAAAATACCGATTATCGGGAGGTGCCGTTATATGGGGGCTCTACGAAGGCGTGGACCTGCACAGACAATTTTCTGCCATAGACTGTAGTATCCATTGCGAACTTCAAATACCAAATTTGAAACAATACCGGTGAATAATGTCGCTAAAATTTTAAATATATATATATATACATTTAAGTAAAATTTTATTAACCTTCTTCATTTCGTTCGGAAGCTAGAGTGATTTCCACAGATGGATAGATAATATACCCTCCATACTAAGGTGGAGGGTATAAAAATCGTATATGCAAAGGCAATATGTAAATTTCCCCCTTATACAGAATGCCTCTAATTGGGCTCCATTTCCCCCTCTGTTTTTTGCACCCCATTAGAGATTGGGTACGGCGAAGTAATAAAGAAACAAAATCTCATATGCAATAAAAATGTACTTTACATAGGTCTATTTAGATACTCAGAAGAAAATCTTTTATTGGCCACCAATTTCTCCTCCGAATTTTTCATAATTTTTTTAAAGTAAAAATTAAGGAAAACGGCATATGAAAAGCCCATATGTGTTTGCTTCTATTGGGCGCCATTTTCGCCTATGAATTTTTATTATTTTCTGTTCAAGGGACCGGTAAATTTAAAGTAATAAAAAATCTTATATGAAAAGGCAATATGCCAATTTCCCTCCTATACAAAATGCCTTTAATTGGGCGCCATTTTCACCTCTGCTCTTTGGCCTGCTTTACCCACAAAAGACCGGATACGGTGAAGTAAAAAAAAACAAAATTTCATGTACTATACATAGGTCTATTTACCTTCTCTGAAAAAGAAATTATATTGGGCGCCATTTTCTCCTTCTAATATTTCTCTATTTACCGTACCTTCTCTGTAGGCGAACTTTAATTGGGCGCCATTTTTTCAATTCAATTTTGGACCTCAATTAAAGATATGATGATATCATAATCCCACGTTTCAATTTCCCTCCCATAAAGAAGGCCTCTATTTGGGCGCCAATATCACCTCTGTCTTTTGCACTACTTTTACAAAAGACCGGGTACGGCGAAGTAATGAAGGAACAAAATCACAAATGCAAAATATCGAAGACAAACGCAAAAAAAAATTGACAAAATGCCGGGAGAAGCAGCAGCTAATGTGGAAATGAGGAGACAAAAAATCGCACATAGCTCGGACAAAAGCACGGCGAAAGAAAGACCAAAGAAAAGGCCTAAGAATAAGAAGCAAAATCCACTTTTCGCATGTGTGGACAAAAAAATAAAAGAACGTTTGATTGTGGAATGGACACACACGGCGGCACAAATTGATTGGCAAAATAGTCAACGTTTAGTTACTCATGCCTGCGGTAGAGAACGGTCCATTTTTGTTAACGTTAAAATTCAAAACGAGAAACAAGAAAAGGAAAATTTTCAAAAATATCATCCAAAAATCGCTCATACAGTTCCGTCAGCTTCGTTATAGTATTTAGAGACAATAATTGTTTCAGTTTTGAAAAAAAAAAAACACAATTTTGGCGTTATGCCATTATTAGCCATAATTTGAATACGAAAAAAATAATGAAATAATCGTCATCATCATTATTGGGATGCTAATGATGATGATTATGATGACACTTGTGAAGCAGATAATGAAAATGTTTTAGAAAGAGGTTCAAGTACCCCCACCCCAACCAATAATCAATGGCAAACACAAAGCTGGGACTCATTGGCGTGGCGTATTTGATATTGTGTGAAAATTTGGAAAACTATGCAGCAGCCGCCCTGAGCATCAGCTCTTCTTAACAACAATTAATAGCCGTTGGGGGTTGTGGTTAGTTCGAGTAGTCGGCCAGTCAGTCACCTGCTACTTTTCACAACGATCACATCACATATTTTTTTTCCTAACGAGACGAATTTTGAGTTTGATTTTTTTTCCAATATATTTTTTTTAATTTCAAATCATTTTAGAAAACAAAAAATTCTGAGCTATAGAGTATGTGTGAGTGAATGTGAGTGAATTTGCTTAAAATCGAAAAGTTTTTTTTATTAGTGTTTTTTGTTGTTGCATTGTTTTTTTTTTTTTGAGGTTCTCCAAGTTATGAGAATTTATTTTCGTATTTTGTTAAATGACGGTTGTTGGTTTTGTTGTTGTTGTCTATTATTGGTATGACTTAACGTTTGTGTTATCGTGATGATAACAACGACAACAACAATAGCAAAAACAATAACAACAACATCTCCAACTAAAATGATCGTCAACAAAAAGCTTCAATTGTTCGCGCTGAACTTCAACAGCAAATAGATTCTAACTGGCATCCACCAGCCCCATAACAAACCATTAGTCCGGCAGTTAGTGAGTGTTGAGTGTACTCTCGCAACGGGTAACGGGAGTTTGCAAAAAAAAAAAAAAAAAAAAAAAATAAAATAAAATAAAAATAATTTTAATTTTTTTTAAATTAATATTCTTAACAAAAAATATATTTTTGTGCATTAAAAGTGAACATTTTCGCCATTGTGTATAATATATATGAAAATTAAATCATCAAATTTATAAATAACCAAGGAAAACAGAAAATGAAAACGGAAAAATAAAATTCAAAAAAAAAAAAAAGCGAAAATTTTCTGCAACACGGACATCAGCAATGACCACGTATAAATACATATATAAATACAACTATAAAAATATATAAATAAAAAAAAACATATCAACTTCTCACACAGCAGCCGTTTTTCCACATAACATCCATACACATATATATATAACATTAACATATCTAAAAGTCTGAGCAGGAAATCTACATTTCAGTCACCAAAAAAAAATTGTCATCTTCCACAAAAAGTAAAAACCAAAAACAACAAACGACAACGAAAATAAATAGCGACACATTCTACAAAACAAAAAAAAAAAAATAAATAAAATTAAATCCAAGGCGTTTTTCAACTCTTCTCTTTTTGCCCTGCCAACAAATGTGCGTTTCTGGGCCTCCCGCCAGGCAGCAAAAGTGCAAAAACAAACAGAAATACTTAAAGTAAATATTCTCTAAATGTAATGAGAATTATATGCTTGCGTGGTTCATCATCCATGACCATAATGTTAAAGTAAATATTTATTGTAAAGAAAAGCCAACAACAACGAAGAAATAATCACACAATTGCCTATTTCAATAATTTTGTTACCGTGTATTGTGTACGAAAGAAAACAATAACAACAACAGCAACATCATGGAACGAGATCAAACACCTGTTAGAGCCAAAAGCCAGGAGAAGGAAACACACACTACTGAAGGTATGTAACTTTTAATTTAACACCCATCTAAACCACCCCCACACAACACACACTATGGCATTGATAATCATCATACGTTAGTTTTATGTAAGAGCTATTACTCTCCAACTCTCACTGTTTTCCACTCTTACTGTTTCTATTTACATAGTAAAACAAACACACACATTTATTTTGGAGAAAATTAAGGGAGAGCGTAATCAAATGACCAGTGGCGAGTGAGAGACACACTGAGTGTGAAAGGTTTCAGATCAAGAATACAATGTTAAAAGGGCTTTTACAGAACAAGGGACTACATGGGAAATAAAGAAATCAAATGTATTCTCGTGATTATTGTTTCTATTTACATAAGAAAACAAAAACAAACACATTTATTTTGGAGAAAATTAAAGGAGAGTGTAATCAAATGACCAGTAGCAAGTTAATAGAAGGAGGGAGAGAGAAACACACAGAGTGTGAAAGGGTGAGATCAAGAATACAATGTTATAAAGGGCTTTTATAAAACAAGGACTACATGAGAAATAAAGAAATCAAATGTATTTTCTTGGTTATTTTTCTATTTAACAAAACAAACAAAAATTTATTTTGGAGAAATTTAAAGGAGAGTGTCATCAAATGACCAGTGGCGAGTTGAATGAAGGGGAGAGAGAGACACACTGAGTGTGAAAGGGAGAGTGCAAAAATACAATGGTAAAAGGGCTTTAAAAAACCAGGGACTACATGGGAAATAAATTTCAATGTATTCTCCTGATTATATTTCTATTTATTTTTGAGAAAATTAAAGGAGAGTGTTAGCAAATGGCCAGAGGCGAGTTACAATGAGAGTGTGAAAGAGTGAGAGTAAGAATACAATGTTAAAAGGGCTTTAAAGAAACAAGGGACTATATGGACAAGAAGAAATAAATTAATTTCCTTTAAATTAAATGAATGATTTGGCATTGAAATTTAATATTCAAACAGGATTTATAACGATTGGATTAGACCTTTTAAATATTCACCATGAGGGGCCTTCATCGAAATATATAAAAATATAAATAAATATGAATAAAAACGAGTGATTTTTTGTTTGGCGCTTTGAGGCCAAATAATTCTTCTGCCTCCAACTAGGCAGAAGTAACGAATAAACCGAAAAAAAGAGTGATTAACTATCATAATAACAGTCGGAAGAAACCGCTGAAGATACAATCTAGAAATTTAACATGTGGATAGGGAAAGTAAAGAGCTACAGAATCATTATAACGACGATTAACCCAAGAATACATTTTGAAATAATATCGAGGTGTCCTTGATTTTCCATGTAAAAAATACAAAAAATTTCTTAAAAAAAGGTAAAATAATATCAGTAGGTTTTGCCGACAAATGTATACCCCGTGCCTTGAGTTATGATTATTCAAACTTTTTACTCTTAATGGGGAAGGTTCCGAAGCAGATGACCAATATTCACCAATTCGTATATGACATAAGATTGATATAAATATTACAACGTGCCAGATTTAGACTATATCGACCTCCTACTATTTTATGTGAGATATGTGAAATTTTTTGGAAAATGTGGAAATATGCGCGAGGTAACGGTTATGGCGGACCGAAGTATTCCATTTTCATATTCCATATAATACAGATAAAAATATTGGTATGAAGGAAATTTGAAGTAAATCGAACATTTATATCCAATTTTACGCAAAATCATAAATTCCGATGAATTACATATTCATATCAGACTTCTGGTTAAGAGAAATATTTAGACATAGCAAGTTGTATAGAATAGCCGACTTTTTTCGCAAGTTATGATAGATACAATTATTGAAAATTGTGACTCTTTGTGGGTTAGGTACCAGAAGGGGTTCGCAGATATCTATCATCTTCACAACAGATCCTGCATTAGCAAAAATATTTGCATGTGTGAAATTTGAAGAGAGTTGAATGCTTATTTCGCTTTCTTGGAGCAAGCCAACATTTTCGTATAGGCCCCATATAACGATATCTCCCGATATTCGGTATTTTAATGATTCTAGAGACATTATGAAACATAATGATTCATGAGACCGGAATTGGCTCGAATTTCGTATTTGAAGTGGGCAATGGGTAGTACAGCCTATGACAAAAAATTGCGTATGCAAATCCACATTTTCGTATAGGCCCCATATAACGATACCTCCCGATATTCGGTATTTTAATGATTCTAGAGACATTGTAGACTGGAATTGTTTGAAATTGTGTATTTAAAGTTCGTGATGGATACTACAGCCTATGACAAAAAATTGCGTGTACAGGTCCACGTTTTCGGATAGTCCGCATATAACGATGCCTCCCAATATTCGGTATTTCGGTATATTATTTATCGGAATCGTTTCAAATTTCGTATTTGAAGTTCGGTATCAGTACTAGAGCCCATGATAAAAAATAATATGCAGGACCAAGTTTTTGTATAGCCCCCATATAACGATACCTCCCAATATTCAGTATTTTGCGGCATTATTCACGGGAACTGTTTTAAATTTGATGAATTTAGCGACATTATTCACCGGAATTGTTTCAAATTCCGTATTTGAAGTTCGGTACTACAATCTATGACAAAAAATTACTTATGGAGGACAACATCTTCGTATCGCACCCGTCTGTCTGCCTGGCCGACTGGTGCGTACGATAACTCTTTAAGCGAGTCTGCGATTTGATCCAAACTTGGTGCATCGTAATATTATTATCAAACTTAGATCGAATTTTCGAAGAAAATTGTCGAAGAAAATAATTTACTGCACAGAAACAGAAAGAATAATCCGATTTTCTTCCAACTTCGCAAACTCTAATATTTGCATCAGTGTAGGTCAGGTGCGAAAATGGACAAGATCGGGTCAAAATTTTAAATAATTATAGCTTCTATAACATGTGATGTAAGTGTCCGATTTTTTTTTTCGAAATTTTGAATATTCATGAAGCTCATAAGATACAAAATTAACACCCGATTCCCTTCAGACTTGGTGCATCGCAATATTTCCATCAACACAAGATCTGTTATAAAGATGGTAGAGATCGGACCATTTCTTCTGGTACCTCCCCCACAAAGGGTCAAAGTTTCGAATAACCAAAATGATCATAAAATTCGAAATAAGCACCCGGTTCTCTTCAAATTACACACATCACAATATTTTTATTTACCCAATATGTGGTGTGAAGATGGAATATATCGGTCCACTCATTCTGGTACCTACCCAACAAAGGTTAAAATTTTGAATATTCATGAAGCTCATAAAACGCGTAATTAACGTCCGATTCCCTTCAGACTTGGCACATCTCAATATTTCCATCAAAACAAGATATATTATAAAGTTGGTAGAGATCGGACCAATCCTTCTGTTACCTCCCACACAAAGGGTCAAAGTTTTGAATAATCAAAATTATCATAAAATCCGAAGCACCCGGTTCTCTTCAAATTACACACATTACATTATTTTTATTAATGCAAGGTCTGGTGTGAAGATGGAATATATCGGTCCACTCCTTCTGGTACCTCCCCCACAAAGGGTCAAAATTTGGAACATTCATGAAGCCCATAAAACTCGAAATTAACAGCCGATGACATTCAAAGTTTTGACTAACCAAAACGATCATAAAATCCGAAATAAGCTTCAGGTTCTCTTCAAATTACACACATCACAAAATTTCCACTAACCTGGTCTGGTGTGAAGATTAAGTATATCGGTCCTCTCCTTCTGGTACATCCCCTACTAAGGGTCAAAATTTAGTGTGAGTGAGAATTTTGAGCGAAATAAGCATCCAACTGTCTTCAAACTTCGCACATCCAAATATTTTTGCTAGCGCAAACCTCCCCCATACAGGGTCAACAGTTAGAATAATCGTAACTCAAGGCTAGGGGGTATACATCTGCCGGAAAAACTGACTGATACTATTTTACTTGTTTTTACTAAAAATGTATTCATGGTAATAAACCTTGAAGTATCTTTCTTTTTTATGGGGGTCAATTATTGTGAGATTAAGGAAAATTGTAGCTGGTTTTAGATATTCAGACTTTTGACACTGCCTCAATCATGAAAAGGCCTCACAGGACAGTTAGGTTCTTATTCATACCAAAATTAGCTGAGATATGTCAAATGTAGCAGGGATACTAACCTAATTATCCTTTGAGGGAGTTTCGGTATTCTCTTGGAGTAAAAATTCCGCCCAGAATTGAAGGCAAGGGATTTTTTTCCAACAAAAATATGAACTGAATGCTTCAAAAGGATTACGTCAAAATATATGTGTTTATTCCATTTACATTTACTTACGAATATAAGTCCTCCCTAAGGACCTCTTTAAGAAAATAAGATCTGTACAAATATCTGTACACAGATCTTATTTTCTTAAAGAGGTCCTTCGAAAGGATTAATATTCGTTAGCAAATGTAAATTTTGCATAAAATTTGGCATACTTGATTAAAGCTATAATTTTTTCTTTAATAGTTAAGTTGAGACTCGAAGTGAAATACATACTTACTCTGTTCCAGAACCTGCAAGAATCTCTTAATTTTGCAATTTTTTTTTGAAATCATAAACGGAAAATTAATTTTCGCAGAAAAATTGTTCTTTCAGTTCTAGAACAGTCCAATAGGTGTTCCCTCATGGTGAAAGTTGATGTCAGATGCAATCAAAATAAAAATTCAATTCCATTTTCAATAATTAATAATTTCAATAAATCTTATATAAACCCTGAAGTGGTAACGTCAATGAATGCAAGTCCCCAATAGATCTCAATTGATAACTGCACTATCACCCTGAAAATAAATCATAGAAAAATTCCTCCTCGCCACCTGGTATTTACGTAAGTATGACGTCGTCGCTCCTCCCAAAAATAGAAGAAAGAAAGTTCGAAGAACAAAAACAAATTCTGCAATAAAGTTTGAGTCTACGTGCCTCCCCGAGAGTAGACAAAGCAACAATAAAGTATTTAATCTTATCGCGCTGTCATTAGCTCTGCGGCTCGACAACTGCGGTTAATGATTGAAATGTTTCCAAAACACAAAAAAAATAGAGAACATCAAAGGTGAAAATGAAATCGATTTGCACAAAAAAATTGTTACACGTGAATGTCATGTCATTATCTGGAAACTAAATATAGGCATGAAAGGTATTTGCGGAATTTCATCAGGAATTTGATTTGCGAAACTCCTCCATTGGTGATTAGGGAGTGGGTATAGATTTCAGAATAAGTTGGTGACGAAAAATGGGGGGGAACTTCAAAAGGGGTTAACATAAATAAAAAAACCACAAAAAGACCTCCCTCCAAATGTCTTCTATTCCATAGACTCTATTTGAAGTCATACAATTCTATTGGATCCAATATAAAAGCCTTGAATTCCACAGAAGCTCTTATGGAATAGAGTGCCTTCTATTCCATAAGAAACCTTACGAGACCCCTGTTCTATAAAAGTCATTTATAAAGGTATCCTATGCAATTGAGGCTTTTAGAAGGTCGTCTGTTCCATTGAAGACAATATAAGAGTCTTATGGTATTTTTGAAGGCCTTCTAAGCAGAAAAGCTCTATATGAGGACTTTATGTTTTAGAGACACCCTTTTCCTTATCAGAAGCTCTTGTTTTATAGAAGTTCTTACGAAATCCTTTAGATTTGTAATAGCAAAAAAAGAGGACCTTCCAAAGACCTTCACATAGATAGAATGCATAGAAGTCATCGTGAAGGTCTTTTGTGCAACAATAGCACCTTCCATAGAAGTCCTATTTTACAGAAGTAACATAAAGGCATTCTTTGTCATATAAAACCATACAAACGTCACCTGTTCTATGAAAGCTATATGGAGACCTTCCATGTTGAAGGAACCCGTATGGAGGCCTTCTGTCTCATAGATTCTCAAATGAAGACCACCTATTACATAAATACCTTCAGGAATTCTTTTCTTGCTCAGAAGTCCCTACATGGGCCTCATGTTCCACAGAAACCCGTGGCTATGTCTTCTGTTCCATGGATACCCTTATAAATCCCTTCTATTGCACAGAAGTACTTATGAAGGCCCCATGTTCCACAGAAGCTTATGCGTATGTCTTCCGTTCCATAGATACCCTTATGAGGACTCTCTATTGCATGGAAGTCCTTATGAAGGCTTCTTGTTACACATAGATCCTTACGAAATTTTCCTGTTTTAATGAAGACCTTCTGTTTCGTCAATACCATTAGGAATCCTTCTATTCCGCAAAAGTTCTTATGAAGCCTCATGTTCCATAGAAGCCCATGAATATGCCTTCTGTTCCATAGATACCCTATTTGAACCTCTTCTATTGAATGGAAGTCCTAATGAAGGCCTCCTGTTACACATAGGTCCTTACGGAAATCTCCTATTCCAATGAAGATCTCCTGTTCCATAAATATCCTAAGAAAACCTTCTATTGCACAAAAGTCTTTATAATAGTCTCATGTTCCACAGAAGCCCTTGAATATGCCTGTTCCTGTTTCATAGTAAGCAAGTTCTATAGTATGGAAGTCCTTATGAAAGCCTCCTGTTCCTTAGATGCCCTTAATTAAACCTCCCGTTTCATAGAAACTCTTATAAGAGTCTTCCATTTCAGATAAGATTTTTATGATGTCCATCTGTTTCACAGAAGCAGTTCTTATGCAGTCCTTCTATCTAAAGAGGCCCTAATGGCGGCCTTTTGCTTCATAGAAGACTTTATTATTCCCTGAAAGGACTTATTTCCTTTCCACAATCTACCGTTCCATACAAGTTGATATGAAAACCGCCTATTTTCCGAAAGCCCTTATGAAGTCCTTCTATCCAAAATACACCTAACGAAGGCCTCTTGGTTCATAGAATCCCTTTCTCCAGTATTTTCGCTTTTGATGTAGTTCTGTTCCCGACTTATTTTTCATAGATCTCTTCTTTTCCATAGAAGACTTTCTGAAGGCCTGCTTTTTCATATAAGCCCTTATCAAGACTGTCTGGTTCCTATAAGCCCTTCTAATGACCTTTTGTTTCTACGAAGCCAATTTGTCCCATAGAAAGCCTACTATTTGCGAAAGCTCTTCAAAAGGCCTTTTATTCCGCAGAAAACCTTATTAAGGACTCTTGTACCATAGGTGCCCTCCATAAAGGCTCTCTATTTCGCAGAAGACTTTTATAAAGGCCTTATATAGGAGACACTCAAGAAGGCATTTCTTTCTTTTTATGCCCTTCAAGGAAATTATTTAAAAAGGTCTTCCCTTCCCTTCAAAAGATGACTTTCTGGAAGGATTTGTGTTTCAAAGAAAGCCGTTATGAAGCCCTTCAAAAGAAGCCCTTTATGAGGGTCTTCCATAGGACTCTTTACGAAGTCCTTCTATAGAGGCCACTATATGAAGGGATTTTATACTAAAAAAAGCCACTTAGAAGCGATTATAAACAAAACAAGCCATTTTTAAAATCCTTTCGGATCTTAATTAAAGTCTTCAATTTCGAAAAAAATTAGGTCCCTTAAAAAATCGCTTTGTGAAGGCTTTCTGTTCCACATAAGTTTTTTAAGTGAGTTTATAAGCCCTTTTTTGAAGGCCTTCCAAAGAAACCCTTAACGAAGTCCTTAATCTAGATCTTCTATTCCACAAAATCACTATCTGAAGGCCTTCCTTGGATGCCTCTCAGGAAGGCCTACTGTAGAACCCATTTTCAAAGGCCTTCTTGAAAATAAACCCTTTATAAAAGCCTTCCATGGAATCCCCTTATGAAGGGTTTTCCCTTTCTGAAGGTCGTCTACTTTAAAGAAGCCCCCTGTGAAGGTTTTCTAGCCTTTTATGAAGCCTTCATATTCCACAGAACCATTTTTAAGGTTCTCACTCGAATCCCTTTATAGAGGTCCTTCATAAAAACCTTTAAGAAGGCTTTCTACTTAAAAAAGGCCCTTCACAAAGGCCTTCTATAGAAGATGTTTTCCAAAGTCTTCTATAGAGGGTGTATTCAAAGGCCTTATAATCCATTGAAGCATTTTCAGAAGTCGCTCAAAAGAAGTCCTCCAGGAAGGTCTTTTATTTCTCAGAAGCCCCTTACGGAATTTCTATTCCACAGAAGTTCTAATGAAGATCTTCTCTCCCTCTCTTTGTCTCTCTTAGGCTTTCCATTTCATAGAAGATCTTTATAAGGTCCTTCTACCATAAAAAAACCTTTACAACTCCTTCTTCCATACCCGTAGCACCTTTTTTTGGCCAGCCACTATTCTGAGTCCCAATAACCCCTATCATCAATAGAAATCTGTTCACCATCAATCTCATCATGACACGCACACCCACATGTAAATACATAAGTTATTATATTAGAAAAAGTAATAATATTTCTTCTTTTTCCCCTAAAATTTATTTCCCTTCCCTCTACCCTTCGGCACTTTTTACAGGAATGGGGCTTGTGACGCCTTCATATCACACGGCCACATCGTTGACGAGATTTCTAATTTGCATGGCTCCAGTAATGGGTAACGTTCTCTAGTTTTCCAATTATTTGCGCGCCACACACGTCGTTCTATGTCTCGTGTCTATGGCCATTGCTTCGGAGTGCCATTCACTTGACTTCCTTTGCTCGAGATTCATTTAAATCTGTTGAACGTACTCGTAGTTGAGATGTCTTGCTTGTGGTCGTAATCATTGGAACATCTCTCCATAGAAGACTGGGGGGGCATCTATGAATGCCTCTTGTCTGTCTGTCTGTCCGTCTGCCTGTTTGTGGCCACATTTCTTCATCTAGTGTTGTAGTTGTTGGCAATTTGAAAATGCTCGTCGTTGTTGTTGTTCTTTTAATCGCCGTTGTTTTGCGTTCCATTAAATCTCATTGAATCAAATGAATCAATCAATCCTTTTGTGCGTTGGTTGCCATTTGGCGTTCGTCTGTCTCTGCGTTACACATTCGCCGTAATTGTTCGCCTCTCATTGTTGTAGTTTGGATCATCATCGGCTATGCCAAAACAGCTTCATTAGTCAATTTTCTTTATTTATTCTGTGTGTCCACATTCATCCGTTGTCTTCTCAATTAGAATGAATTGTCGCATACTTCACAATTTGTATGGAGTGACCCATATTCTCGATGAAATATGTTGAGTATGATCATAAATGCATTATACAGCGGAACCTGGTTATGAGGGATATTTTGGAATTAAAAAAAATGATTAATGCTTTTATTCCTTTATAAAAATGTGGATTAGCAAAATCACATATTTGTAGATGAGTAGCTATAATAACTTTGTCCCTCTTAACCACGTTCCACTGTAAATTATTATTGAATTCACCGTGATGTCATCATCAAATTTTCATGTAATTTCATTTGGCCATCACCATCCGAAATGGGTGAATTATTTTTCATTGTATTCTCATTTTTGTGTGTGCAGAATATTTTTAGAAGTGAGAAGACCACCTTTTCATTTGATGTCACATTCATTAAAAGTATTCATCGTTGTTTCATTTTTTTCCGAATCATAAATTTATATTTAGTTTTAAGGTATTTAGTGATTTTAAATTTCGTATAGCTCATAATGTTTTGAAAAACATTTAAATATCTCTAATTTAAGACACATCATTTGTATTTATCCGAAGTAAGTATGACTAATAATTACACTAAATATTCTAAATAAATCTCAGAATGAAGCATATATCTAAGTTTAATAGTTTTAAAGAAAATTAAATTTAAATCTAACACATTTCCAATGTGTGTCAAAATTTTCCTTAATACTTCATTTTGGAAGGATGATGTCAAAGAAAAAAATGTTCTCTATCAAATTTAACCATAAGTCACCCATGAAAATAAAATTCTATCTCGACTATATGACGAGAAAAAATCTGCATCAATATTTCCCTCGGTTTTTTTTTGAATTGATGCATAAAAGTAAGAAAATATTTTATTTTAGGCAAAATATGTCAATAGAGTAAATATTGTACACAAAATGTCACTATAAATTTCAGAATTAACAATATATTTAGCTACAATTGTTTAAAAAAAAATACATTTTAAATTCGAATATTGCTAGTGAAAATTGTGTGTTTACCTTTTTTACTACTTTTTTTAAAGCGTTTCCAATATATGTCCAAATCTCCCTTAATACTTAATTCTGCAATGATGACGTCAAAGGCAAAAATATTCTTTTTCAAATTTCACTATAAGTCCCCAAAGAAAAGAAATCTCTGTCTTCACTATATGTTATATAAATTCTTACATCAATGTTATCAAAAAGAGCAAAAATATTTCTTTTGTTTTAAATCGATTCTTCTTAGGTCTTTTTCCAAAATAATGCATAAAATTAAAAAATATGCGTTTTAGGTAGAAAGTGTCAAAAGAAGAAATATTCTACACAAAATTTCACTATAAATCTCAGAATAAACTATATATCTAGCTATGATAGTTTTAAAAAAATTACATTGAAAATTAATATAATATTTAAAAGGAAAAATTTACACGCTTCCAATCTAAACCAAAAACTCCCTTAACACTTAATTTTAGAAGAATTATGTTAAAAACAAAAATATTCTTTTTCAAATTTCACTATAAGTCCTCAAAGAAACGAAATCTCTATCTCCACTATATGTCAAGAAAATATCTCCAACATTTTCCAAAAAGAAAAAAAAAACACAAATATATTCCCTTTTCTTTACGGAGTTTTCTCTTTATTTTTTTTTTCCATTTGATTTATGAAAGTTACATAAAATGTCATTTTAGACAGAAATTGTCAAAAGAACAAATTTTCTACACAAAATTTCACTATAAATTTCAGAATGAACCATAAATCTAGGTTTAACAGTTTTTAAGAAAACTGCATTCTAAATTTATGTATCGCAAGTGAAAATTATGTGTTTATGTATTTTACTGCTATTTTAAGACGTTTTCATTTTAAGCCAAAATCACCCTAAAAATTTAAGTTTTTGGGAAAAGTATCAAAGGAAGAAATATTCTAGACCATATTTCACTATGAATCTCTGAACAAAAGAAATGTGTATACCTAATATGTACCATAAAAAATAACATCAATTTTGCTATATAACCTTAACTTTAGTTTAGTAAAACTCTTCAATTTTTTTGAATTTTCTTTTTTCCAGAAGTAGGTATTTTTACCCTGCTTCCGGGAAACTATTTTTGTCTTGGGGGAGGGACCCGGGACCCAGATTTTTGATCCGAAAGTCTTTGTTCGAGACTCGGACTAGGTCCGGTATCCACTTGCCCAATATAATATAGGTATCGTTTGAAAGCTTGAGAAATACAGGGTAAGATAAAAAACTTCAACAAATCAAACGCCATAATTTTTGCATTTTTCTTTTTAAATTTTATTTTCATCAAACTTTAGAATAAATTTAGATTTGTTCGAATTGGTCACCTTTTTCACGAATTATGGCCTTCAAACGGTCAATGAAACCGTCACATGCTGCCCGAATGTTGTTCTGCGGTATTTTGGCCCATTCGCGACGAAGCGCTTGCTTGAGGTGATCGACACTTTGGTATTTTTTAGTGCCAACCTTGCCTTCCAAAATACTCCAGACACAATAGTCCAACGAATTGGTATCCGGAGATTGTGGTGGTCATTGTGCGCTGGAAATGAAGCGAGGAACCTCATTTTGTAAACATTCTTGGATGGCGCGTGCTGAGTCCTGTTGGAATGTCCAAGGTCTGCGGCCAAAATGTTTGCGTGCCCAAGGCATTAATGCACCCTCCAGGATATTTTCGCAATAATATTCGGCATTTATTCTGATGCCACGATCGATTAATACGAGCGGAGAGCGACCATCGACTGTTATGGCGGCCCACACCATCACCATGGCCGGCGCTTGAGTTCTAGTGGCCAACCGAAGGTGCACATTTTCAACTGACCTCTTTGGCAAGTAAACACCATCATTTTGTTTGTTTACAAACTGCTGGACAATGAATGTTTTCTCATCAGAGACGGAGAAAATCAAATTCGGCAGTTCGCCAACTTTCGGCCAAGCCAAACTACTCTTTAGCTCTTTTTAGTCTATTTGCTTTCTGTTGCGGTGTAAGTTCTGGCAATTTTTGGAATATCAAAATGAGCTCGGGGTAAGCTCATTTTTCAATATTTGCCGAAAGGAATATTGCGATATGTTCAGCTCACAACCAGTTTTCGGCCAGTGCGACGCGGGTTTCGATCAAGTCGCTTTGTTTACTTTTCGAATCATTTCTGCTGATGTTGCTGTTTAGTTCGGCCCACTTCCTTGACGCCGGGCTACGCTACCAGAATCACGGTAACGTGCGATAGTACGAGACACAAACGATTTATTCACAATTAAATGCTGATGCTGGAGTGCCCTAACGATAGCCACTTGTGGTTTTCTAGCCAAATATAAAAAAATCACACTATCACGCTTGAATCCCATCACGAATAACGTTTTTTTCTGGAAAATTCTCACCAAAATGCTTCTGTACGCTTGTAAACAATAACATGAGCTGTCACTGGAATAATTTTAACAGCTGCCGGATATGAAATGATAGCAGTCTGAAGTTGATTACAATTTTTTCATCTCACCCTGTATCTATAAGAGACCTTCAGACGGTCTTCTCATCCTATTAAACCTCTTAAAGGTTTTCTAAATTCTTAAAGAAAATTCACAGAAAATCAGTCAGATTTCTTCTTAAAAGGCTTTTTTACCTTTTTAATATGGATAGATCTCTAGAAACTGTTTTGTCTCATTTTGAAGTTTAAGAAGTTCGACATCTTTACAAAAGTTCCAATATTCATAAAATTCATCCAGAATTCGGAAAATGTCCAATGCCTCAAATTTATTTCCACTACAAATCTTATTTCAAAATTTTAACTTTGTAATTTTCGGCTTTCCAACAAACCGAGACTCATACTTTGAACTCTAATTTAGTTTGGACTTTAAAACGCAACATGGAATTATGTTGAACTCAAACCCACTGGGCATGAATTCGCAACAATTCTTGCAAGTTGATGTATTTATGCCGGCTCTCTGTTGTTGTTATTCCATGCCAATTGATGTTGGATGGTTGTTCTACTACTCTTTGAAACCAAGCTGGGCATTAGTGTGAATTCACAACAAAAGTCAAAGTTTGGCGGGATCAAATAAATTAATGGCCATTATAATTATAATTGTTGATAGAAAAAATAAACAAAAAAAAAAAAAAAAAATAATAATAATCAACAAATAAAAACGAGGTCTACTTTAAACTGGCACCACCAACAACAGCAACAACAAAAAGAAAACATGTTTACCAATTTCTTGCTCTCTCCCTCTCTCTCACACTTACTCACTCATTTTTTTGGTTAAATACTAACTAGAGAAAAAAGACAATAGCAACAACAATAACACCACCTCGACCATTGGATATTTTTAAAAAATTTGTGTGCCACTTTTGTTAATTCACACTTTGATTTCTTCAAAAACGTCAGTTGCGGCCGGCGTTGCTTTCGTTGCCAACAAATGAATCTTTTTCCAAAAAAAAAAAATAATAAAACGCTGCTGT